GGTAGATGTGCTCTTGTCTCAACTCGTACTCCGCAAATGACCGAAAAGGGAACATGCCGAACAAACGGCCTCAATCTAAATCACAACACGCTTCCGAACAGCATGATCCTGCATAGAACCCTGGTTCTGTACTGCATGCCTTCGCCTTTTCCGGCCAAGAGACTTGTCATCTTTGTACACGGGCTGTTCCAGCGGCCTGGCATCGCATGCGAAAACTGAGTTCGATCCTGTCGTTACACCGTGGCACACGTCTGCGTGCTGGTGCGCAATTGTGACTAATTACGCGTGGGCCATGCCAATTTGAAAGCTTTTGCCTAGCAAAGCAGACCTGAGAGAATCTGAGAGACAAAGATCCTACCTATGTTTTGGAGCCCCAAGTCGAGGCGACTGGGCTACCGACTGACCATAGGGTGTTGGCGCCTCGCAAGAACAAGTGAATCTGCCTTTGCGCCACGTGTATAGAGCTCTTCCCGCGAGCATGGTCTGCATGTGGAACACAGTCGGAAATGCTGCTAGGGTGCCACTGTACAATACGGTCAAACGACGGCGCAACTGCGGCGTGCAGAAGTCAAGCGCTCAAGCCACACGCAATTTCTATCTGACCATTGACAAATCGTCGGGTAGTGTGCTGAAGGACTCGATGAAATAGTGTTTGTGTTTGTGCGAGCAGTACTGAAGCTTCACCATCCATTCGCCCATCCCACATTCCACCCTGCTACGAAAGGTTGCAGTGCAACGCATGCCACAAAAAGTGCTGTGATTCTGGGACTCCGACGGCTCTCACCGATCGCGCAACCTCGAGGCCTTGTGCTGAGCATCTACTTACAAAGACATTCGCGCTTCGCCGGGTAGTAACAAGGGGACAGGGCATGTTTTCATCTTGGCGGCAAACTGGTGTTGAAGATCTTTGCTGACTTCCGCATCGATCTGAGACAGCACGAAGAATCGGCACTGACGTCCGCTGCACGTCCAGATGATCCTCGTTGGTCTTCACCAGCCCCATTTTCCAATGGCTCGTGCATGATTGAGAGTTCATGGCAAGTTCACACGACGGCTTAAGCCTTGTCTTCCCAGAATGCGATCATCCGAGCATCTTCCAGCTAGACCGCTGTAAGCACTCGTCGTTTGCAGCGCTCGGTACAGTACATGACACATGATCCCGCGGCTTGCGCATCAGTCGGTGGCAAAACGCACAAACTTCAGAGTTCGTGGGTCCTACCTTTCTTTTGCCAGCCCTGCCGGTCGATCAACGTATGGCGACACCTGTTGGCGTCGTGCGGCTGCCAGCCCATCCCATGCAGGTAAAGCTGGATCGTCTCACGAGGGGCTGAAAGAAGCGCGGTGTGAATCGTGGGGTGGAAATAGACCGAGGAAATGTTCAAAGATGACCACCAGGTCCAATTGACATCATGAGGACTGAGCTTCTCCGTCAAAAAAGCAATGAAGTAT